CATTGATAGTTTGGAGTGTTTGAGAGGGAACAGGGGAAGAAGAGTTGCTGGCTTTTTGGCTTTTCTGGTATTCTTTGTAGTGTTTGAGAAAATTCAGCTGCTCTTCCTAAAGTACAGAAACCCAGCTGAGCCAACATGTAATGGAAATGTTTTGAGAAAATCGGTGGAGGGGAGAAGGTGGATAGTTCAGCTATGAAGTAGACACATGTTTCTAATTGCCTGTTTCCACTTTCTACTCGGTGAAAAATATCAGAAGCCATTGAAGGAAATTATGTCTGTACTCTGACATAAATCTTTATGCAAAGTGTAATTAGCTGTCAGTAGCATTTGCCACCATTGAGTACCTGATTATCATAGTTGCTTGACATCTTTTGTGAATGAGTGCTGGAGGGAGACGAGACACACCCTTTACTGCTGGCTTTTAAGCTGTTTTAATACAGAAAATGGTGGGTGCTTGGCGTTCCCAGGTCAGTTTCTGTGGGGGTCACCAAACTTTTTGCTCTGATATCCTCAGAGACTCCCCTTTCCTTCCCATCCCATCCAACTGTCACACCTGATCTCTTTTTCTCCTTCTCTCTGTAGCTTTTCTCCTGCTCCCTTTCCCTCCTTCACCCTTTGTCACTTGACCCTCCCTCTGAGACAGACAGCAAGAAGGATCTCTCTCTGCTGAGAAGGAAGAAGGACCAAAAAAGAACAGTAGATGCAAAGCTGGGTGTGATTCCTTTCTCCATTTCAGATAAGTAAATGTGTTGGAGGAGATCCCAGGACTAAGTAAATGTATGTTTAACTCCTTCTGAATAATAATTTCCTTCCTTAGTTGAGAGTTAGTCTCTTGTTTTTCTCCAGTGTTTCACAATACGTTTGAACCAGCTTTTCTGATTGTTTAAAATCCCTCCCTCTCTCCCCCACGTCTTGTGGCAGGGAGCAGTTCAAGGGCAACGTCTCTGAAACCCATTGCATTATAACTTTGTCCCTTTAAAGACTTTCTACCTCGGAGTTCAGTAACAGTAAGAAGCTCCCCAATCAGGCAGGCAATATTCTGCTTTAAAAGCTGTTGTGATCTTTGCTGTTGCTGATGCACCCATGAGAGCTGACCTGTGGCCAGGGCTCAGGACGCTGCTCTGAAAGAGGTGGCCAGCAGAGCATGCTGGTGCGGACAGGAGAATGCTAGCCAGGTGCGAGGGACCCCATGGGCTGCCTGCGCAGTGGCATGGACGGATGTAGAGCTCATGTACCTGTGCATGTGTGCCCCCAGACACAATGCTGATGAAGTTATTCCTGCAAGGGAAAAGTAGTTAAGTGTATTATTTTCTTCAGTCTGGTTGCTAATTTATTCCGGATATGTTAAACAACGTAATTAAACACACACACACACACACAAACGCTAAAAACTCTTGTTCTCTGTCAGAAGAGAGGGAACGCGTGTCAGACCCAGCCTTCAAGCTCTGTTAGTTTTAATTTGAGTTTTGGAATTAGTAATCAGTTTTGCTGGAACAGTGTTGCACGAAATAGATCTTAGCATGCATGGGGCCTGGGCACAGTTTCAAATGAGTATTTGTTAAGAAGAAGCCATTCCCTTGTCGTGTTATGGTACATTACATGAGATTTATTTCCATTGTATTAAAAAATGCAAGCCCAAGGGGAATGTTCTCTCTTTTTGTTGGCCGAGGGTGATTCCTGAATTCCATCTGATTTTTTTGTGGGGCTTTTAATTAAAACAAGGAGATGCAAAACTCTTTATTTTTCTAGGCTGTTGTTACAATGCCAGGAGGCCAAGTGACTTGAAGCACTGAGAAAGGTGATGACACTAAGTAAAAAGTGTGTATGTGGGGGGGCTGTATCACACCTTCAGTGTGTCTGGTCTGTGTTTTTCACATGTGTGAATGATTCACAACAAAAATCAGAGGCTTTGCTCTTTCTGGAGCCATCTGCTCTCTTTGTACTGTACCTGGAACATATCAGATCTACAGATAAGTTTGGTAGGAAAAGAGCCCTTTTAAAAAAAAAAAAAAAAAAAAAAAGCAATGGCTTCTGGTGGCTTGAAACTGAAACTAAGTGACTTCAGGCTAGAAGTTAGCACAGCAAAGTTAATTAACTACAGGAGTGGCTTGCCCAGGGCATGTGGTGGATTTTCCAGTGCTAATTTATGAGAAGGTACATCTTAAGTGGAAGCCAGGAGCTAGGGACAGGAATCGCTGGATCAAGTGCAGTGGCATTTGTCATGCAAGAAGCTAAAGGAGGTGATCACAGTGATCCTTCTTGACTTTAAAAGTCTGCTAACGCAGGGCTTCACCAGGGGCTTCTCTTTTCATATGGAGAAGGACAAAAGGGGAATTATAGCTCAGGACGGTTAAAGTTTTGTTTTTGTGAGGGCAAGTGCAAATGAAGGGTGAAAGCTGGTGCGGATGTCAAGTTATATTTTGACCCAGCAACATGTAATTTTGCATGATGAAAGCTGCTGGAGGAACCAGGAGGCAAGGCAGGCTGAAGAGCCTTCCTGCTACATCTCTGAACTCCACAACAGAGCTTTTTAGCTGAAGGGAGATCCCCAGGAGATGGTGCACACATGTGTGTCTCTCTGTACATCCACACGGCTCTGGGGATTGAACCTGAAAGCCCCTACTCTGGTTAGACAGAACAAATTGCTCTTTTAAAGCTCTGGTGCCACTGCCTGTCCAAACATGCAAGTTTTCCACCTTCCTGTGCCCTTCTCCTACTCATGTCCCAAAAGCCCTCCCTCCCCACAGTCCAGCGTCTGCATGGACGATGCACTGCCTCCCTTTGGAACAAGAGTAGATCTTTGATGGCAAGAGTCCTGCTGTGCTCTTCGATGACTGTAAAGGGGACAGAGTCCACAACGGGAGATTTTTTCTCTTGCATCCTTCCCTGGCTGTGCCAGCAGATGTGTTAGCAGGTCTGTCCATTCTAGAGTTCCACTGTGTGTGTGAAATGTTTGTTTTCCTGAGTGAATTGCCCGTTTCCTTTAGACACGTTAACAAAGAGGGGCTCAAACATGCTCCAGACTGGAATAGTTACAGATGCCATGCAGGGACTGCCCAGTTTAAATATGAATCTACAATTCAGATCTGTTTAAACACTGGCCTCCAAATGAACTACTGACTCCAAAATCTCCAGACCTTGGTGCACGCTCATGTGAGCAAGTAGTGTAGGTGGGATCCAGGTCTGGATGTTGCAGCTTGGTCCCATCTCAGCAGTGTAGCTTTAGGGAGTCTGGTGGAGTGTGTGTGTAAGCTGGTAGGAAGACACCCCCCTAATCTGTCTGGGGTCTTTGGAGCAGATCCAAAGGAAAGGCAAGTCTCTGCCTTCTTTAGGTCTCACAGGGCATGACTGTCAAGCGCTCACTTGTGGAAATGAAATAAATAACTCGAAAAATGACCTGGGCACAGGTGTGATCCATGGCCAGAGGAGTCCTGGGTACCTCTGAGCAGCCTCCCTGCTCACACCACCTCCCTCCTCCCCTGTGTCTGCAGCTCCTGCTCCATCCCCTACTTGCTTGTGTTGCAGATGTACCTCAATGCGAACACAGCAGCTCGCTAACAGCTTTGCTCTCTGTCCTCAGGGAAGACTCAAAATTTAATTTGTAGCAGTGACAGCACTGGTTTAAGATAAACCAGTTTGGATTTGACGACTACTCTTTCTCCGGGCATTTCCAGCTAATAAGGATTTTGTCACTGACTGCCCTCAGCTCTGCAAGCTGCTGCTCCACAATCCTCTTGTGGGGGGAGGAGGTGTTTGCTTTCCCATACACTTCTAAGGCACCACTTCGGATTGGGAAACTAATGGCAGTCCATGTCTCCCCTTCACAGGAAAGGGGCACAATGCTCGCCCCCAGCTCTGCTCTAATGTTGGAGCAGGGCTGGCAAACAACAGGGGCAACAGGAAGCCTCCAGAACCTGAAGAAATTTAAAAACCAGGACTTCAACCACCTGCGAGCCTTGTGTCTGAGCCAAGGATTGCTTTTTGAGGATGCCACCTTCCCCGCTCATGTCAGCTCCATCGGTCCCAACCTGCTCCCAGAGGATAAGCTGCGGCGAATACAATGGAAGAGGCCAACTGTGAGTTACACCAGCCGGGGTGTTTCATAGCCCTGCTGCTGAATGGGAGTGCTGATGGCCAGGGGCTAAAGGCCTTCACCCTGGGGAAGGAGATCTGTGCTAAGCAGGGAAGTAGACCCCAAGGGGAACACTGGGAGCACAACACTGCAAGGAGGGATCCTTGCTATGGGTTGTGTAGGGGGAAGGTAATCTCTGTAACATTAATGATTTCAGTGGGTACATTTTTGTAGGAAGTTTGTTTCCACCTGTGAACCTCACTAGAACTAGTGTTCCCACTTTGTTCTGTTTCTAGGTGACTCTGTGCAAACCTGAAAAGCTGTCAGATTCTATTAAAGATCTCTGGTTTCTGTAATCCAAGCCACTGACTCAGCAATACCTATTTTAAAGTAATTGGGACAAGGCATGAGATGAAGTACACTTGCTGATTCCCAGTTGCAGTTTAACAGGCCGTTGTCATCATCTGGCATATGGATTTTAAATTCGCAGGTGGAATCACATAATCAGCTCTTTTATCCTAGGACCTAATTCAGGAAATCTTTCTATGGTCAGACTGCGCTGTATAGCACTGCTGTGTACCATTTGCTGCTGGTGCAGTTACTGGATTTGCCATGTGCTGCCCTTTTGCTGAGGGCACCGCTAGTGCCTGGGGCCTTTGGCTTTCCTGGGCTGGAGCAAACCAGTTCATCTCCCTGAAGACAACCCCTCAGGGTGTAGAGACAGTAACTGTGAGACTGTAGAGACAGGACAATACAACTAGAAAAAACTTATTTGGACAGCAGATGCAAGCATGGCAATGAGGGTACTCTGGAGCTTGGCAGTGTGGTGGCCTTGGCAGAGCAGCAGCAGAGGCTGCTGCTAGCAAGGACCTTGAAAGCCATGGGTCAGCGCAGGGAAGCAGGCTAGCTCAGGGAGCCTGCATAGCTGCTACATGTGGATGCCCGAATGGAAAGGCGGGAAGCCCCAGCCCTGGTGTAAAAGGAATGTGATGTGGTGAAGTATCAGATAGAGCCAGAAGTTGCAGCCTGGACACCAACAGGGCTGTGGCTGCAGTGTTGTGGTGATAGGGATGGGGCCTAAGGCTTGAACTTCTCACTACCCACTGCTGCAGCAGGGCCTGAAAATGTCAGAGAAATTGTGTGTGCAGAGGTACAGGTACTTCCAATCTGTGGCGACACTTTACAACATGGCTTGGTAGGTGTGGAGGTGCTGGGTGCAGATGCCTGGGTGTCCTCTGTGGAGCTGCTACGAAGGGACCATTCTCCTCTGCACAAGCAGCTCCTACTGCTGGCTGAACATCTGGGCTTCTCCTCAGGCAGCCTTTCTTCAAATCCGGGTCCAGTGAGAATGCAGCCGGTGCTGTGTTTTTTACACCAGCAGTCTGCTTACAGGTTTGTAGCATGTGGGGATAATCTCTCTTGAAATAAGGGTTATAGTAGAAAAATAACTAAAAAATGCAAAGGAGAGGAGTTACTTGCAACCATTTCCAGACTGAGAAAGACAAAGATACGATAACTAAGCATTAGACTCACAGAAGACAAACATGGATATTAGAAAGGACTCTCAGGGGCATTTTAAAGATGAATAAGCTGGAATAAAATGTTATGATACAGTTCTGTTAAGTACTAACCACCCTAGTGTTTTTGCCGTTTGGAAGCAGCAGAGAAGCGTAGGATTTCAAAAGCATACAAACTTTAGAAACAAGATTTAGAAACCCAAATACCACTAATTTTGAGGCATCGCAGTGTGGGATGAACATCTATCCTACTTGAATATCCTGAGAGTTAATTCATGTGCAAAGGGACTGACATACCTTGCCAAAAGCAGAATCTGCTGCTGCTAGTGCTTGAAGTTTGTCAGGTGAGGCCGGCATTGGACAATTCCCTTCCATTTTCCTGAATCCATGAAGATTAAGCTGATGAATGAAAGTTTTTGTGGAATTGGTTTCAAAAATTTGCAGAGGTCCTCTCCTTCACAGCACTTCCCTTTTGAAGATTTTTTTCAGCAATCACTACGGTTTCCACCATCACCCCTCCAAATTGACTGAAACCAATGGCATCCAACAGTTTTCCAGAGTTTTTTTCAGGAAGGAGTGGGATGAAAAGTCATTGGCTTTGCCAGAGCTCTCCTCTGAAAAATTAAACTGTATGCTCATGGCCCAGGGTTCATCATGCAAACATTGAAAAGCCTTTTCTTCTACTGTAGAGGCTAAGGCAGCATCACCAACTGCTTTTATGATGTACTCAAGGGACAAAAGTTGAGACTGCTGACTTAACTGTCTCACCTGGGACAGAAACCCAGGATGTCTGTGCTGAAGAAGGCTCCATTTTATTTTTTTTTTCTCGGTTTGACCAAAATTTTCACCGGTAGCTGTTTCCCGACCAGCCAGGCTTCGTCCTGCTAGACAAGATGCAAGATGAAGGGCAATGGCGCCAAATGCCTGGGGACCCAACCAGAAGTTCTCAAATGTCACCACAACACCTGTGCTGTGTCATGGTGACATCAAAGCATGGCCTCCGTCTCCTGGCAGAGTGAAGCAGAGGCAGAAGTTGCTAAATAGCAGTGGTTGCTTTTCAGTTATAGAACTGTAGATGTTTTGAGCGAAGGGTCAGGAAGTAAATAAAACTGTATTTGCATTTCAAATGTCCTGAAAGGCCAGCGCTGCGTCCGGTTGCCTTTGGGAATTGGTCCCCGGGGAGGAAGAGAGAAGGCTGCAGTGTTAGGAGTTGAAGTACCCCATTCCTGAAGTTTTTCAGTTGGGCACTTTTCACCTGTGCAGAAATGTTAATAAACTCTTTGTTCTTAGATTATTGCAATGCTAACTGTAAGGATACATGATCCCAGGTGTTTAAGCTACCTAAACTACTTGGCAAAGAGATACCTATAGTTTCCCCAAGGGAGACTGTTTCTTATCTGAATACATCTCCCAGAGAGTGAGCATAGTTGCATCCTGCCAACAGCGCACGGCCAATTTAATCTATGTCTATATTTTTCTCAGCCTCCACAATTAGCTTCCTCTGACATTAAAAAAATTTGGCTGGAAAGGTATCTGTGACAAAACTGGTATCTTGGTCCTAATAATCTCTTAGAGTCCATTTTCAGAGTCGTATAGTATCTGATTATTTAAGTGGTAGATAGCAATTATAACTGCTGTCATTGTTCCAGATCCAATTGAGCAACTTGCTGCTTCTATTTTACTTTGTACATTGTCAAGAGAATTGCCAATTACGTTCAGAGTTTGGAGTCTTCATATCTGGGGGTAATGTATAAAGTAGAGAGAAAACAGCGTGATTTTCAGACAGCAATAGTCAGTGGTGACAGTCAGAAACAACTTATTTTGATGTGTAAAGTGAGCTGATTTAATATGGGAGTCCCTGAAAGGGGAGGTGGATCAGGAGCACCAAGACAATATTTGAAATGTCACTTTTCCTAACTCTGCAGCAGTTGCAGTTTCCCATTAGATGGGAACTGCTCCAGGCTGTGTTTTCATCCCTAGGACCTCAGTCTATGTCCATTGAAACATGTGCAATTTGCAACAGAGATTTTGCATGTGGTACTTCAAGCATTACTAGAGGTGGGGCTGGAAGTATCAGATACAGCAGGAGCTCCGCAATTAACTGGTCTTTTGGTTCACCCACAGTTTGAAGAAATGGAAAAGAGTTCTATTTTAGACTGAACAAAATATTTTCTATAGCTGGGCTTTTCTAAAGATCATTCAAGGGGAAATTCTCCTTGAAGAGTTATGTCAGATTTTAAAAACTGAGATGGTCCTTTAAAAAATGTTCAGAACACATTCTTTCATTGTTTGGTGCTTTTCCTTCACAGAAGCAATTGAATGGAACAGAGGAAGTCACAAAATGATTTGCTGTTGCTGAATACATGTTTTTAATCAATTAATGTTTTAGCTGAAGGTTTCACTCTGTTCTGGTCATAATGCATAATACTATACAGATGCAAAGAGAAACTGAATTAGGGTGATCCAGGTGGTGTGAATTGTAGTGAATTCCGAGTGCTTTATTTTTGCTAAGATTGGTTATATTTTCAAACACGGTATGTGTGAGGGGAGAGAGATTACTACGTATGGCCGCAGTGCCCTCACCCTGAATCAGGGATAGCCTAACATGGTGCTTGATATGGTGCTTGATTGGTTAAGGATAGTCCCTGATCTTCAGCGCTTATGCTTTATAAGGCTAAAATGCGCAGAGTGTGAAGCTGCTGAAGGTATTTCTGAAGAATCTTCAAGGTCACAGACAACTGCTCCTGCAGCTGCTCACCCCTCATCTCTTGGAGACCCTGTAGCTACCTTATGGGGTGAGAACTGCTGAGCAAGAGCTGGTGTAGGAGGGTCCGTCCCCCGTTTAACATAGGCTGTGACTTGTGTGTAGGGCAACCAGAAGAGAGGGAAAAGCTGGAAGGTGGCCAATGGAGGTTTGAGGGTCAGCATGACAGAAATCCCTGAGTGCCTCTGATGTGACTTGTAGGAGGGTGCATGGTGAAAGGGCTGTTTAAAATAGCTGACGTGGGTTTCCTCTGCATCAGGGCATGGAATCCTTGGGTATTTGTCTCACGTATCTGGTGTCAGGGGAAGGGAAGAGTAGGGTCTAAAAGTTTTTGGATAGAAGCCACAGAAAGAGGCTGCTTTAGTGTGAACTGGAGCAAGGGATATACCTTGTTCCCTTAGCAGAGACTCAGGGAACCATGCTATTGCACTTAGCATCTAAAAAACATTGGGGAAAACAATACACGTTGAGTCAATGCTTGTTTGTTGGAAAAAGTGATTCGTCATTTGATTCAGTAATTTTGCAAAAGGGATTGCTCACATTTTTTCCTCTCTTTCTCTGTCCCTTCCCAAAGCAAATGTAACCTTCTTTCAGCAACATAGTGCCTATCATGATTCTATACTGCTTTTGGTGATTGGTATTTGTTTATTGGCATTTTATTTAATTCCTAGAGATTTCCAGGAAGTAGCATCAATGTTAACAGTTCTGAACCCAGGAACTAAACTAAACATTTGACTAAACCAAAATGGGCCCTTTAAAAAAAAATCATTTTGAAGTTAGGATCTTTCCAGGCAGGTAAGCTGAGCTGGAGTTCCTACTGCATCAGCCTTGGCCTGTCTGTAGCTGGAGGGGAGAAAAAGATAGATTTTATTCAGGCAAGAAATTAGACAACAGTTTGAAGTTAAGCTGAAAACTTAGCTCTAACAGCACAGGGGACAGATGAAGAAAAACCTAACAAAAAAGAAAAAAAGAAGAAAAAGAAATGTGGATTGTCACATGAGCTGCTTTAATAGGCAAGTTATGAAAAATGTGTGGTGATGAGGGATAGTGCTGTCCTGCAATACCTGCAGGTCTGTCACTGTGGGGCCATCCTCCGGCGTGAGCCAAAGTCGCCTGCCAGCTGTTCGTGGTAGAGTTCACAGCTTCAGTATATCCCAGAGGCCACAAGGTCCTTGGATCCCGTTCAGTATTTCTCCTTGATGAAAATCAGAATCAATTCACCTTATTTTTGAGTGTGCATGTGCAATCAGTGTAATTGAATGGGAGCAGCATTTCCAGGCTGCCATTGTCTCAGCCCTTACCTACTCAGCTGATTGCATCTGACCTCGACTTCAGAGTTCATACCTGTGGGCTGAGGAAGCTGCAGTGTGTCACCATTCATTAAATCTGTCTTTCTGCACAGGTTTTAGATGAGGAGGGTTTATTTGCATTGTATCTCCAGGCTCTGTTGCTTTTGGAAAGAGCTGGTTGTGGGGGTGGATGCACGCATCCTAGGTTGAGGGGAAAGCAGCATTCCTATGATGGTCTGTTGGCTCACCTGCTTCCCTGTTTTTCAGGCTGGGGAGTCAGGATTATATGGCTGTGGTGGCCACAGGGGAATAGTTGATAACACTCTGTCACTTTGAATATGAGTTTAAAAAAAAAAAAATTAGGCAGATTCAAGGAAACATATTCCTGATTCCCACGAGGTCTAATAAACACAAAACTGTGGAAGAGCCTCAAGCCTGGGAAGTCCTTTAGCCCCCAAGTGATGGAGAGTGGGAGGATGTATGCGGGAGGAGCATTAGTTTCAGTTTGCTCGGTTATCCTGCTCCCTCTCCAAGCTGTCAGAGATAAGTCATTGCAACAGGCAGACCTTCAGTGTCACCCAGCACAGCTCATCCTTTGTTCTGCCCTACCTTCTGCCAGTTACTCCAACTGGCTTATTTCTGTGTTAGCTATTCTGTGGAGGTTTCCTGTGGTTACGGGATGTGTGACAGTGGTGTGCCTGACCCCTCCTCAGCACACTGCAGGCAATGCCCTCAGCCCAGGGAACTGCAATACCACGTTTGCTTCTTAATCCAGAGCAACTCTATTACAGGCACAGCAGTGATGCAGAATTAAGATTTGTCCAGCTGAGAACAGAGTTTAGCTTTCAACCAGTAGCAGCCTTTTTATTTTTCTTAATTGGTGTGTGTTGAACAGGGAGCACTGTGGCTCACGATTGCAGGATGTGTCAGGAAGGTGAAGCTGGAGCAGGAGGGAGCAACACAAGTACAGCCAAAGGGAAGGATGCAGTGCTGTGGCAGGAACAGAAGCGGGGCTGGGATTTTACTGTAGGGTTAAGGTGAACTGATTGGGAGGCAGCTCTGCAAGGAGTCGTCTCCTGCCTCTTAATGCTCAGTGGCCTTATGCCTGCACTCAGGATCATGCTGGGTGAGCAGGGAAATCTGGGAAAGTGACCACAGCCAGATCACCGTACTGAGCAGCAGCCTGACTGGCTTACACTGCCCATGAAATCCCACCTCAGGCTTCCAATTTTCCACAAAAATGTCTGACTGAGTTCTTTACATATGTCTGCATATGGCCTACATCTATACTACTCACCCCCAGCTTCTTCTGGGGACTTGCTCTTCCATAAAAATGCTGAGCAATTATAAAAAGAAATTTAGAGACAAATGCATGTACAGGGTGCTCTCCTTCCATCTCTCAAATTAATTTTCCATGTTGCCCTTTGGATAAGCAGTACTTCTGTGGTAAGACCACTCTCTAGAGGATGAACTGGTTTGAACTTGAACTTCTTTTTTATTTTGAATACGTAATGAAGTTTTCAGTTGGCCAGGGAAAACGAGTGATGATAGCTTTGTCCTGCGGGGATTAGTTCAGGCAGAGCGCTTGACTTGCAGCCCATATGGTTGCCTTCACTACTGGACTCGTAGATACTCTGAGAAGAGACCACGTGACTCCTTAAGCTCTCTCTTCTCCCCCCCTCCAGCTAAAACTGAAAAGTCTTGAGGAAAATGCCACAAAGCCTCATCATAATTTCTCAGTGAAACAGGACACTGCTTCTGGACAGTGTTATAGTTAAATCTGTAGTTTCTCTATTTGTCATGCAATTTAAGCGCTAGCAAATAGTGAGGCTTGCATGTTTTGTGTAGTGGTAACTATATGCATAGCTGTGTTTTGCAATAATAAATGATAGTTTCTGGTGTTTTATGACTGCTGTGTTCTTGCCTTTGAAGGAAGAGGAGCTAATTGGAGTCTTCCTTTCCTCCCTTTCCTTCCGGTTGAGAAGGCCCAGATTTCCAAAGCACTGCACCCATCACGCTTACGTCCTTTCTGAGCTCTTTCAGAAACCCTCTGCGCCTAGTTCAGGCTCCACACAGCCTTCTTCAAGGGAACAGCCATTCCACCACTGACTTCAGGGCTCACACTCTTCCAGAGCTCTTCTGAGTATCTGGTCTTGCAATTCCCCACCACTGCCCCCTTCTGCCTTTGCTTCAGCTTTTGTTTGTCCTCTGCCCTTCCTTGGCTCACACCCAATGCTGTGCAAAGAGCCCGTGCTCTGTGCACTACATCCTTTTGAAGCGTGCCCATGCTGCCTCTTTTCCTCAAGTCCACAGAGAGGTGGCTACATTCAGAAGCACAAACCTCTTCTTAAAACCTACCCCGCCATTTCTGACCGCAGTGCACGCAGCGAGAAGGACTGCTGCCATTTCAGCCAGCGGCACTGGTGTCAGCTCAGTGGGAATTCACCTTGCCTTTGCCACGTGGTTTCTGCAGAGGGACAGCTGCTGAGCAGCCCCTTTTCCATGGCTAGTCACACGCTTTGTGTTGCTTTCCAGTTATTGCCCCCTAAGTCTATGAGGAGTACACCCCACTGGAAGCAGAGCTTAGTGTGTTGTGGGTGGGGATTACAGTGAGAGTGTTTGACTTCAGCTTTTGTTCTCTCTGGTAGCCACAAAATCATCTGTATGCGCAGTCAAGGCATGTTGGCTGGGGCTGACTTCAGATAATTTCTTTTCTGTTTTAGACAAAATTACTGGTTTCTCTCAGCAAGGAACCTGCTTAATGACTCAACTCATCCCCGTTTGCTTACTGGGGAGTCGAACGTCTTGGTGGGCAGTGGGGTATCTGCTGAGACATCTAATGGGCTGACTTTTTCAGCTGGTCTCCGTAACAGGCTAGCAGGATCCACAGTGCACTTAGAGCTTTATCATCCCAGCACGGAGCAGAGTATCAGCCCTTTCCTCAGGAATCCCATAAGAGATATAGCTGCTTTCCCATTGGTTTCAGGCTTGTGTTTCTATGTGGTGGTTACTCCCATGGCAGCTGTGCACTGTAGCACATCCATCAGAGCCCAGCCACCCTGTCTGGGGCAACTAAGACTTCAACAGCCTCCGAAATGATGGGGGAACAAAAATACCCATTCCTTTATGCTGTTGGTTTTCTGGGATGACTATTGGCAAGTCAGACACACACAAGGACACAGGCAAAGTTCAGAGCCTTGTCATGCAAGTTACTCTTCCTTGCTTGTAGAAGGTTCTGAATTCACCCAGGTAAGGGAGGCAAACTGCTGACAGGGAAATAGAGGCAGGGAGAAGATAAAGCTGGGACAGATATAGAGGGGAAGGGAGAATGGCTGAGAACTGCTGCTTCCCTCTATGGTGACCAACCGCTGCTGCTGGTGACCACCACTTCTGAGGCCTGCTCCCATGCTATGGGTAAATCTCTTACCGCAAATCCTCGAAGTCCTGGGATAGGTGTGGATGGCTGTGTGAAAGCATCTGTCAAGGAAGATGTGTGCCCAGGCTGCTTTCCCTGGTGTCAGCAGTGCTGTGGGAGCATGATCTGTCCGCCAGCCTGGAGCAGCAATATTGCGTTGCATCTTGTCCTGACAGGGAAACTTCCTAGAGGGGTTTGATCACCGTGAAGCCATTTCAGAAAACTGACAGCATTTGCTGATGCTGAGCTCACGCAACCGTGCGAGTCACGAGTCACATTGTGTGCCGGTCTCGTTTTTGTGCAGCATGTCAAATCAACTGGGGAGAAGAAATGCCAGGGCCTGCTGAAGGAAGAGCTGCTGTATTAGTTTTCTTACTTAGATGGGTTTTTTCCCTTTTATCTCTTTATTTTCTTAGGTGCACGGTGACTTTCCTATTTAAGGCTGATTGTGCTTTCAAAACAGGGCCTTACCCAATTGGGGTGTGCCAAGGGTTACTCACAGGGGATGCTCAGGCCATTCTCACCTGAGCACTCAGATATCCCAGACCAATAGCAGATGCAGGTGAGAGGATGGTTGACATTTCTGTGTGCAATGCCAAGCTCTGAAGTGTTTCCCCTTCACTGCCCAAGCAAGACTCTCAAGGAATGCAAGGAAAATTCTCCCTGAATTAAAAGTAAGTCAGCCAGGCCTGCGGGATTTTGCAGCCAGAGATTAAGCCTTCTTTCTATAGTTCCCTCACCAGAAGTCATCAGCCTAGGCTGATCTGTATTAGTCCTGCATGGAAACACGAAAGGCTTAGAGAGTAAAACATTCTCAGAACCAGTGCTGAGCTGAAGTACAGACCCTGCTCCACTTTGCTTGGAAACCTCTGTGTCTCTGCCCTACTGTCCCCCAGAAAACTGCATGATTTCACAGACAGGCTCAGACCCCTTTCTGAAAGGTGTTGGTAGCATTAGAGAAACCCAAACGAAAACTCAGTGAGCACCCAGCCACAAGTCCCCATCCCTAGGAACAGCAGACTTAAGAAGAGATGCCTGAGTATCTCCTCTTGTTTTGTTGGTGGCAGGCAGCAAAACATCAGGGCTCAAGAGAAATGGTTTTCAGCTGTGGAAAAGGTAGGCAAGCAAAGGTCTTCAAGGGGCAGGAGCACACTGCTGGCAAAGGCTGGGTACCCACACTGCTCTCTGCATTTTCTTTCTTCCAGGAACTTCAGAGAAATCCTTATTTGATCATGGATGGAGTTAGCAGATTTGATATCATGCAAGGAGAAATAGGTAAGGTCATATTCCTGTTTTGGAAAAGATTGGCACAAAGCAATAACCTGTGATTGCTTTGCTATGTTTTGAGTGCTTGGTGGGAAGACATGGGCCATGGTAGCTGCAGTAAACCATTAGTGCAGGTCAGTTCAGATTCAAGCAAGTTCACACACAACTTATTGCAGATATTTAACAGGATTCCCAAATGCAGGAGGTCTAATCCCTGTTACTTATATACAGCACCTGCCCTCTATGTATATAGGGACAAGCATAGAAAGGGAGGTCCAACTGGTATCAGGCAGATGCTTCAAGTACAAGGGTCAAACACAGTTCTGGGGTAAGTAGGCACAGCTCCAACATGTGTAAGACTGGCTTTTATTTTGATCCTCTCTCCATCTGGTGACTCTCAGTGTTTTCTTTTTGTCCTGGTTTCGGCTGGGATAGAGTTAAATTTCTTCCTAGTGCTGTGTTTTGGATTTAGTATGAGAAGAACGTTGGTAACACACTGATGTTTTCAGTTGTTGCTAAGTACCCTGCTAGTCAAGGACATTCAGCTTAAAAAAACAAAAATAAAACAAGTGTTGGGAGGGAGCACAGCCAGGACAGCTAGCCTAGCTGGCCAATGGGGTATTCCATACCATGTAACGTTATGCTCAGTATATGAATGGTAGGCGTGTTCCAGGAAGTAGCGATCGCTACTTGGTTATCGGTCAGCGCAGGTGGTGAGCAATTGCATTCTGCATCACTCATTTTGTATATTGTATCATTATTATTATTATTATTATTTTCCCTTTTCTATTCTATTAAACTGTCTTTATCTCAACCCACAAGTTTTTCTCACTCTCACCCTTCTGATTCTCTCCCTGTCCCGCTGGGGCGGTGGGGGGAGTGAGCAAGCGGTATTTGGCTGCCTGCCAGGTTAAACCACGATACTTTTCTACGGATATTTCTGTCCATCTTCTCTGGTACTTACCCAGACATGCGTCTGCACTCTGTATCGGTTCCATCTTTTTCTCCTGGCCCATAACCATGTTTGTCTTTGGGAGCAGCTCTGCTCACATAAAGAAAGAAATGTCTTCCCATTTCTCACCCCACTGAGAGGTCTGAAGATTTCCTAAACAATGTTCTAGACTGCAAGTCTCAACAAGACCACAAAAGATAGGAGCATAAAAGTAGAAAAGGATGGCTGGGTGGCATCAGGGTTCCCAGGGGGCATTGCTGGTGAATACTGGGTAGTGTTTCAGCATTCTGGGGGAGAGAAGGGAGACAGAAGAACGTTGGTTTCTGTTAACAAGCTGCTTCATAGATGTCTTAGATGTAAAAGTCCACTCTCCTAAAGAGTTAGTTATGGTCCACAACAGTGAGTAACTGACTGAATGCACTGGATTCTTCCCTCCCTTGAGGTAGCTGCTGGCTGCTGGCTGCTCTGGGCTCCCTGACACTGCAGAAGCAATTTTTGGAAAATGTTTTACCAAAGGACCAAGGATTCCAGGACGATTATGCCGGGATTTTTCATTTCCGGGTATGTATTCTCTGCTGTATTGGTACGGCTTGGGCTTGGCTGGTTGCATTATATAGGGGTCCAAACTGCAGTCCCAGATCTCGACATCTTTGAATGCTTTGGTTCTTCAGTGCTGACTCCCAGTTTAGAATTTTTCAGAAAATCCCAAATTTTCTAATGGTTCCTTGTCCTCCAGGTGGTGCAATCACACTTCAGGGAATTTGAAGCCCTTTTCTGAAAGGTATGACTCCAGAGGTACAGATACCAGCTGTTCAGATGGATTTGTGTACATATACATTGTAGATGGCATTCTGGTGTCTGCTTTGATTTGGACAGTTTGTTATGGCTGTCAGCACACCTGTGTTCTTTATCTATTTGGTCTCATTTTCTGTTTCCCCATATACTTCACCCTGCCCTTTTAGCTCATGGAAATCGCTTGAAATTACAAACCCTTGGAGACAGATCAGAGGAACAGGCTTTTGGTATTTTGAAGAGAGATTTGTTTCAGAGAGAGGAACAAGGCTTTTTAGTAAATCTTACTTTCTACCAACTCTTGAAATTCTCCCAGGAGGGTGACTGGGATAGTAACTGGCAGGCCCTGCTTGCTTGTATCTGAGTCGACCAAATATCTTGTGGGATTAGAAACACTTGCAGTACCATTAAACTCCAGAAGCTAAACTGGATGTAGAGAGAATCAGTATATACTCGGCCATTCATAATCGCCTTTTTTCGTAAATCTGTTTTGTTATACGCAGTTCAGTACCAAGCGAAGAGCTCTGGCAGTGAGACTTCTTTGACCTCCTGGAGCTCTCATGGAGCAGCACCAGGAGTATTATCTCACGGGCAGTCTAAATTTTGTTCTGTTCCTTTGCTCCTCGGAATACCAGATGTTTCTATCTTGGCCCATTTCCAGCATGCAGAGGTGCACTGTATGAGATAAACCAGCTGAAGGGACACCAGTCCGCTTAAAACATATTAAAAGAATGCAAGCTAGATTGTCTTTCATGAGAGCTTTGAAAAGATTAGTTAGAAGAAATCCTTAAATCTTAAGCAGTATAAATACCTCACAGTATTTGAAAATGTTTTCCCTGTCATCTCATCTGCAAATCAATGCAACTGTTTCTGGCTTTCCTTGAGCAATAAACCCCTGAGAAAGCTACTCTGAATGGAAATACTTCTTGGCAATGCCTTTCAATTATTCTATCAAAGATATTTTACTGCCATCCACAGGCTAAGCCACCAGTCCTCAGTTCAGTGAAGAATCGCAAACAAGGCATATCATATGCTAATATAAAAATTTTAGCTTATATCTTTTTTTCACCTTTTTGGATCTGGAGCATGTTGCCTCTGGGGAACACAAAGGGCTGCTCCAGTCTTCCTACACTACACTGGCTGTTCGGCTGCAAGAGTTAAGGGTGTTAACTACAGCTGATGAAGTGTTTAAGATGGGTGACATTTTTATCTAGGGAATATGTACAATGACGTTATTCCACCAGGAATTAAGTTAGTTCCGTGTTTGTATAGGAATCACTTTCTCTGCCACAGAAACTCTGATGCCTGTGAGGCAGGGTGTGCCACGCGTTGTGACAGTGAGCAGCAGCAGCTCAGCCGGGGAAAAAACCAGAAATATTCTGCAGGGACTACAGGGGGTTATGGCACAGCGCATCAACTCAAAACAGGGGAGATCTGCCCTGAGTGTTAATGTCCCTGCTCTCAGGAAGAAACTGATGAAATCTTTAAAGGCTATAAGTGGTCAAGACCTCAGTTTCAGGACCCATCCAAAAGGTGCCTTTTAACACCATGCAAAAGAGAGTGGTTGAAAGGCATGGGATTTTCACCTTGCTCACTTCCAGAACTGGATTTCTCTAAGATCCCTGTCAAGGGAGGGAAAAAAGGAGGCAAAATAACCACACAGTATTACGTCTATGACCAGCAGCACCCTAGGCATGTTGTTGTCATCTTGCAACTGTCCGTTTCTTTTTCTTCCTCTTCTAAGCCCAGGAAAATAAAGTCCTGATTTAAAAGTCTCACCACAAATGTGGAAGCGAAGAACTTCCCTCTTTGCAGCCTGCCCAAATAGGGATTCTTTGTTTCATTTACTGTCACGTTGCCAGCTGCAGTACTTCAAATCCTCAGGGTATAAAGAAATTTCATGAAGCCAGACTCTCAAGCCAAAAAGTGAACACATTGGCCCTCTCTGAAGGCATATGGGGGAGAATGGCTTCTCCTGTACCACTTTTGCACTCCCAGAGCATCCTAGGACTTTCCATGAGGTTTTTCGTTCCTTTTGTGGCTTTTCCTGTCCTTGTGAGCTCAGATGAGATCATGATCTGAAAGTCTGTGGCAGTCAGGACAAAGCAGCTCTTTTTATCCAGCTGAAGAAAAATACAGTGCTGCATTCAGAAGGCCTCCAAGTTTGAGGTCCCTGCCAAAGATGGCCAAGGAACTTGGCTTTTGGAAAAATGTCACTCTGTGGGTTTGGACTGCATTAATCCCCACAGGCAGTTCCATATTGTTCTCCTTGTTTACCTGTTGTGTTTGCACACGAAGCACCATGGGGAGGTGTGGCTGGATGTCACACTTTTTCTCCGTACAAACTGCTGCCAGGTGTTGACTGGTGTCAGGAGGGCACGTCAAGTGACCAAAAGGACAGCTCCTTTCAGACTGTCCTTTTGCCTGTCTCTCTTTTGGGCAAAGGACAGCCAGTGGCAGGCTTTTCCCCCAACCCCGTCCTGCCAAAATCAAGCAGAAGGCTCAAACCACTCCTGGAGCTCAGTTTGGAGAGTCCAACCCTGCCACCTCCTGCAGCCACTAATGTAGGAACTAAGAGGCTGGGGTGAGGCAGAACATAAGTACAAGAACATAAGATCAAACCTGCTTTCGTCTTAGCAGACTGTGAGCTGCTTTGCTGCTGGGCAGATCTGGTCTTGTGGTTTTCTAACAGAACAGCTCATTTTGGCGTTTTTCATTGACCAAAGCTGTTGAAATAAAATCATGCTAGACTAAATCTATTGCTGGCATACTTCCACCGGAGTCCTTAGCATTACTGCAAATAAGAGCTTGGCCTCTTATGATTGCGAATCATGCTAAGCTACATTAATCTGCTAATGACTCTGGAAATGGCTTCTTTAGTTCATCCCCACAGATCTCTTTGCCTGTCTTCTCCCTTGAAAGGTTTCGTCAGCTGGATCAGCTGGAGAAACACCTGCTCTGTCCACATGCTGGAGAGACCGCCTGCGTCCTCCTCATCTATCAAGGAGATGGATAACACCTCAAAACAGTCTTTAGGCACTACACTGTCCCTGTCCATGACAGCACGTCAGAGTCTTAATTGAAACACAGAGGAAAGAAAATCTAGAGACTGGATCTTGACAGAGGCTCTCTGGCCAAGAGCTGTGCTGCAGGGGAAAATCCAAGTGCACCTGAGGAGTGAGGCTCACGGAACCATCTGCGTGATTGTTCTTTATCATCTTGAGTTCTTGCTATTGCCCAATAATATTAGCATATTTCCCATGTTGACTTTTTCCTCCCACTGATTGCAGGACTATTTATATTCCCAAATGTCTTGCCTGCCACTGGGAAATCCAGCCACTTGGTAGCTTGTTTAACAATGTGGACCATTAGCCTGAAGCAGTTCAGGAGAGAACTTGCACGTATCCATGCTTTAGAATAATTCCTGTGCTATTTCAGGGGGCTGTTGCTTGGCATGAATATTAGCTCTTAAAAGAGACTCATTCTTTTCTCTTTCTTTTTTTTTTATTTCCAGTTCTGGCAATATGGAGACTGGGTGGACGTAGTGATAGATGACCAGCTGCCATTCCTAAATGGAAGATACCTGTCTGTACACCCTCGAACATCAAATGAATTCTGGCCATCCTTGCTGGAAAAAGCATATGCCAAGTAAATATACCTGGTTTATTCTTCCACCCAGTGCTGAATGCTTTCTACACATGGTTTCACCCTCTGCTTTACGCAACGCACACAGGAAGGAGTTCAGACTTACAGCTGTGTATGTTGTGCTGCGCTTATGTAAGGAACTGTGGCCGCGTGCAAACGCAGGGCCAATATAACCTGGAGATGTTGGTCTGAGGCTGATGACCTAAATGTATCCGGTCCAACTCTGGGATGTTAATGCCTGAGAAGTAAAATGAACAGGGCAATGGCTGGTGACACAGGAGGGGCTGGGCATCTCCTTACTTTAAGCAAACATCTTTGCTTCTGTTTTCCTTTCCATATTTTTCTCTGTTTAAAACTGCAGACTCTAAGCAGGGATTACCTCTGTTTACAGTCACTAATCAGAGATCATGCAGATATTTGGAGCAGGCAATGAGAGGAAGCATGACTGAAAAACATGCCCAGACACAACACGTGCACTCTTCTGAGTGTCTGGTCAGCTCTCACTTCACACAGAGAGCTCTGACTCTTGGCTGAGGTCCCCAGAGTACTGCAGGGTTAATAATGATTAATAAAGAGATAATAATTTTAAAAAATCCTCTGAGGAGAGAAGGGATCAGAATGTAGTCCCTTAGCATCTGTAACACTGCCCGTCATTAAATGCGCTGGAGAGAAATTCCTGTGCTAGGGGTAGTATGAAGGGCTGGAACTTGGTGCACATGCCCTCCATCAAGCTGGTGTAACATTCACAATGCAGTAAAAAGTAGATGAAGAAGAGAGCTAATTATTTTGGCAGATTTGGTTAGGAATATGCAAATGTTAAAACAGCATCTGAGTCACTCAGGAATAGGATGCATTTTGCCCTGAGATATCTCACAAAAGTTGACTCAGGATTCAGTATCAATTTGCTGCATAAGATTTTAATTACAAAGCAAACCAAACCTCTATTAAATTAAAGTTGCAAGCGATGCTATTTATGAGATTCCCATTTGAGAAGTTTTTCCCCAGTGCCCATGACAAATTCTTTTCATCAGTGTAGGACAAGGACAACCCTTCAAAATACAATTAGCTGCAGACTTCATTTGATTACATTCATTAAATACTGTGTGTATGGTGGGGTTTAACAGCATGCTCTACCTGCTCTAAGTACGGCATGTTCCAGCTTATTTGCTGTCTCAATAAAAAGCACACGATAAAAACAACAAGGAGTGTGTTGGCAATATTAAATTATTATCCTATTACTGCACTCTAACAGAGTGAATTGGGAACAGTGCTGAAAACTTGTTTCTGTTTTGCCTTCGAAGCATGGGCAAATACCTTCACCTCTCTCTTCTTCCTATTTCTCATTTGCAAAAGGGATACTGGCCATTTTTGTGAAGAGTCATGACAAAATATGATGTAGAAACTAACAGTTCAGCTCCATGTGAGCTGAAACATCCACTTGAACTAATTACCTTTGGTTCCCTTCCTGTTCAGAAGAAAGAAACTGGATAATTCAAGATGAGATGCAGCTTATCTCCCTAAAATATCTGCATTGGCATGAGATGCATCTTATTATTTTCCACCATCTGTAAATGACTCTAGACAGCTGCCTCAGATGTGAGTGAATACGTAGGAAAAAGTCCCTCATTCATTCCACAGGGCGTGTGTTTTGTCTGGCCATGTATTTCAATCACGTTTCCTTTCATTACCTGGCCCCAATGTCTACACACCCCAGGCTCACCGCCTCAATGCGCATGTCCATTTTGGAAACCATCACTGTACATTGTTTATTAAAACACAGTGTAAGGACTAATTAAGTTCCTTCCCCCCCCAGGTTACGGGGCTCCTACCAGAACTTGCATGGAGGCTACCTTTCCGATGCTTTAGTAGACCTCACAGGTGGAGTCCAAGTGCAGTTTTCATTGAAGGATCCCCCTCCTGATCTAGAGGAGATCCTGAAAGCAGCTGACAAATCACAGTGTCTGATGGGGTGCAGCACCTCAGGCCAGGTAAGTCACAGGGCCAGGAGCATGTTTTTCTTGGTTTACCATATTTGCATAAAGGTTGCTCTTTTGAGTGAAAAAGGAAGTCCGCAATAATGGACTTATGTCCGTGTAATAGTTACAGCTTATGGATGCCTGGAGAGGTCTTGGCAGCAGAAAGTAGATAAGGTTATGCAGTAAGTAATGTAAAGGCTTTTGGGTAGATGTAGATGGATTGGTCTGTCAGAGAGGGGTCTGTGGCTTCTCTCCTGGCTAATTCCACTGCAACAGTGGAATCCTCTTGCAGCAGGGCTGATTTTGGCCTCATAGCTTTGTGATAGATTCTAGCAAGGCCAAAATGCACTTCTTTTCTGCGAGAGGATGCTATTACCGCATTGTGATTTGCAGGCTACCGATATTAATGCTGGGAAGTTGCAAAAGGCTTTGTGATCCTCAGCAAGTATCTTGCTAAAAAGCTGCCAAGGCTTCCCTTACAGCATGTAAGGGAAGACTGCAAAGTCTGTGGCATTGCTTCTGTAGTGCCTGGTTCATCAGGACACAAAGCTCAGCTGTTGCAAACAAGCCAAGGACTAGCCCCTCAGCTCAGGTGGCTGACGCAGGGCTGTGGGTGGCAGGGAAATTCTGGGACTCTACCCCTCCCAGTGACCCAGTCCAGGTCATTCTGCAGTTGCAAGCAGCTCTGGACCATTGAAGAACTTGCAGATATGTGAAGACCTGTAGTTTTGTTAAATTTACTGGACTACTTATGGCTGCAGTAGGAACAGCAGTCACGTTCCTCTGGAGCCACTATATCTGAGATTCTGCTGTAGTCAAAACCAAGTCTCTTTTTCTGGCATGACAAATGATAGTTCTGGGAGTTGATGGCCATACCTTTGCAGTGTGGCAGAGAGCTAAAAGCTGTGCTTTCTCCCTTCTGTAGCTGAGGAGGAACGTAGAGCTGAGGAATGGGATTGTACAGGGTCATGCCTACACTGTCACAGGAGCTGTGAAGGTAAGATCAAGGTCTTGTTCCTGCCTCGTGATCTTGTACTGGTGATCCACTACAGGGCAGTCACACTGCTGTTCCATTCAGAGTAATTTTAATTAGCTTCACGCTTAGGAGGGATTGTTGAAAACACATAGTTCAAATTCCGGGAGATAGAAGCATTCTGGCACAATGGGAAGAGGGAGGATATCTGAATCCTATCATTTTTTCTAATGGAAAAATGCAACTTAAATTCACTTTTGTTTTGGGACACTTCAACAGCAAATACAGCATTTCTGGGGATTTTCATTCTATGCTGACTCTTTAAAAATTCACTTTTTTGTTTCAAATGGGAGTAGAAGCACTGGCTGAAATTCTGGGATTTGTCGTACGATGTAAATCTACATTTGTTCAGCTCAATCACAAGCTGCCAAAAATCACTGTGTGAAAAGTAAGTAACTTGCTGGTTCAAGAATAGCATTTCTCCATCTTTTAAAGCTGCTCTACTCATGCAGAACTTCTCCTGGCTAGATGTTAATATTGCTGATCTGAAAACAGGACCAATTTATCACACAGCTCAAAAGAACTGAAGGATTTTTTACAAGCAGAAGTCAGAACATGGCTTGCCCCAGTAAGCTGTAGTGCGCACAGGGAGTGTTAACAGTGAGCAAGGCCAAGAAGGAAACCAAACAATGGCTATGCTATCAAGCAAGACAGCTACAACATATTCTAATCTGGGAACTTAAAGTACTTTGGAAAGGGGACGTTGTTTGCCCTAAGCTATTTTCTCCCTTCTCCTCTTCTCTTTAATGGTTTCCTGTATGAGCCTGGCTTTGGTTTATAGCCCCTCATGCCATGGCGTGTTTTGTGCCATCGTCATAGTCAGTGTCATTCTCAGGGGACACTTGCTTGTAGCCAAGAGGCTCTGAAATGGAAGGATGGGGGTTGCCAGGCTCTAGAGAAACTCCCAGCAGGGGTGGAAGGATCCCGAATCCTATTGGAGAGGAAGCAGGTTGTTTCAGCTTCCTGCTGCTCATGATGTGTGCAGAGAGGAGAAACAGTCTTTGTCCCACCTTACAGGAGGGCCAAGGCATCCAGGGGGATGTTCTGTGGGGAAATGATTTGAGGCTGGCCAGGGGCTGAGTCTTTGCCTGGGAAGAGACTGACGTGGCATTTGTTTGCCACACTGCCTGTGTGCATCAGGAGAGCCAGAAACAAAAAGCTTTGGTTCTCCTTTCCACTTCCACCATTTCAGCTTCACCGGTGAAAGTGAGCTGCTTCTGGCTTAAAGCAGTGACAGCAAGAGAAAAGCACCAAAACTCCAGCTGTTGGAAACCACAATACTGTAAATCTAGAGACACAGATTCTGTTTATCATCATCTCTCCGTGCTGACTGTCGACATTCACTCCAGGCAGTCTAGTGGCCGGGTTCCTCAAAGTCTCTGCCTTTGCTGACTCACAGCATCAGATGTGCAGGATTAGGCACTGGACTTTCCCAAGGCCATTGAAGTCATACAGTGTGGCAGTAATGCTGCTCCTTCCCTCTGTGTCAGCTATTCACTGTCCTCGGGAAAGCAAAATGGGAGCAGTTTTCTCCCACACTTCATTCCTTTACAATGTAGCAAAAGGCACTGATTTTTAGCTGCAGAGATCAGAATTTAAACCAGGCCTCCAAGGTATAGAAGAAGATCCGTTTTATTACCCATCTCTTCACTGAATATCACAATTGTGAAAAGCTGTGACTGAGTTTATTTTTCTTTCTTCTTTATAGATACGCTACAAGAATGGCTGGAAACATATCATCAGGATCTGGAATCCGTGGGGCCATGGGGAGTGGAAGGGGCCCTGGAGTGATAAGTATGGTCTTAAAGCTTTAATCTCATAAGGAGAATCACTCTTTTGTAGGCTTATTGTGAAGGACCTCTGCCTTGCACCCATTATATTGAAGCAGATATTTCTAAATCAATAATAATTAGAAGCGTTATTTCCATCTGCAAAGCAACTGCCCACAGAAATCCAATCCAGGGAAAACTAATGCAGCATTGGTTTTATATGTGCTCCTCACTAGGCCTAGCTCAGGTATCCCTTTTTGTCTATGTGTACATTTTTCCAAGTGGGTAATTCCAGATAACTCAGGGATGAAAGAGTTGTTATTACCTGGAGTAAGCTCTGGCCATGCCCCTAGACACTGGCTGGCTGCTTCTATTGAATTCTCCTGCAGTAATCGTGCATCCACCTTCCTGCTCCTTCTTCCCCTCCCATGAGTCTGAATCTGGGAAAAGGATGGTTAGCAGAGTCCATGAGAGTAGGGCAGTATTTTTATGCAGTATTGAACACAGAAAGACAAAAAGGGACCTTGGTTATCGCAAAGGCAAAGTGCTGCTGGATGGCTTGAACTGATCTTTTGGATCCTGCATGCAGCTTTGGAGACGCAGGGACCGCTTTTCTGCTGTGTGTATAAGCTAACTTCTCTTTCCTGAGGAAAGGAATGATACAGAGGAAGACTGCAACAGTGTTTTGTAAATAAATAGATGTTAGTTTTCCTAGTGGAATTGCATCGGTATTTTCCTGACTAGAGAGATGTCCAGGTGTCACTCTTATGTGATTTAATAGCATCCCACCTCTCCCTGTTGCTAGGAACACTCATAACTTCTCTACTGAGAAAAGTCAGGCTAGCATGTCGTGTCTGGATGGGTTGGCGGGTGGTGCAGACATGTTTAAGGCTGGGATAATAGCTATCTGCTCAGACAGCATCCTCCCATTTTTTGGAAGGGTGAACTATAATCCTAACTGTAATTGAAATGTCAGTAGAGCGCGTTCACAGGTAAGCTGCATAAATCAATAAATTATTGATTCATGCTCTGTTTATTTATCTTGCACTCTGCAGAAAGTACAATTATCACTTAATTATAAACACGCTGCTTGGGAACAACACATTTGACTGGCTAATGTGCCCTCTACACGTCAATGTAATATCAGCACTTCAGAGTGCTGTGCCTTGGTACCTCACTAGCCTCTCCAGCATGGGGCTAGGTGACCGGGGCTTGGAGGGCAGAGGCAGGATTCCCCATCCCAGAGTGGGCAACTCAGGCAGGCACAGCAAAGGTGCAGAGCTCTGTTTGCTGGCCTTGGCTATGAAGGTATCAAGCACAGTCCTGCTCCCAACGTGCAGTTTGCTCACCTCTCCTGATCCCTCATGACTTGACGAGCTGGTTAAAGGAATGGGCTGGCCAGAGAGATGGAAAATTGTGCCTCACATCTGCTTGTTGATTTGTTCCTGTTTGCAGCTCTCCTCAGTGGGACCATGTTGAGCCTAAATTCAGAGAAACCCTCCTCAGAAATAAGGATGATGGAGAATTCTGGTATTTCCCTATCAATTCTTCTGTCTACCAGGTTTTCTGTTCATGTTCATTATGAAAAAAAGAGTCATTTAGGCAGTTCTCTGCTCTTAGTGATGGCTCAAGGCACCCTGTGTTATCTGTGTGCAAACAACAGATTGGAGGTTGCCCTGCCCCCATGGTTTCAGAGGAAACAAGACCTGGAGAAATGGAGCTGGCCAAGATTAAGTAACAAGCTGGTGAAAAAAATGAAAACTGAGAGAAATAAAAATCCAGCTCTCTGAGACCTAGTCATTTTGTCACACTGCCCTTCCCCATAAAGCGCCTAGCTTGAACCTTGGACTGGCTGGTGCTCGGAGGGGGCAGGTGGCTGAGCAGGTCATAGAGCTTGTGCACTTGACTGCTCTGCAGGTGCTTGTGTTTTTTCACTGCCTCTGATTACTCTCAGATCCAGTTCAGCCATGTGTGAGCCATCCTTTAGGAAAGCTATTATTATTCAGAAAGTGCACACCTGCCCCGTGAGGCTCTGAGGACAGCAGGGGAACAGCAGGCTGGTCTGAGATAGGCACTGCAGGCTTGAGCAAAGCATGAGTGCGGGGCAGGACACTGCGGAGGGGCAAAGCAAGGTGCAGTGGCAGAGATGTGCTGGAGATAGCAGGGCTGTAATTTCCCTGGGGCTTTAGATGCAGTTAGGGCAGCCCAAATGCATTGAGAGCTGACCTCTTCTGCAAGGTATCGGCCAGCTCAGCTACAGCCTGTAGTGCTCTCTGTAATCCCCTTTTAAAGACATGGGGGGGAGAACGTGAGTACCTGACTGGTGTCTCAAACTGAAAGGTGAGATTTTCTCCTTCTCTGCAGGATGTCCTGTGAAAACTTCCAGAAGCAGTTTTCCTGGCTGTATATATGTAATAGCACCCCAACATTTCTCGACTTTGGAGATCAGCGCTGCACAACGTGGTCCGTGGATAGGCACATCAACCTGTGGAGTCCAGTCCTTGCCACAGGCAGGAACAACTATTCCCGAGGTAATAAACGCTTATTGCAGTCACCCAGTCCCCTCCTCCTCTCCACTGGTGCTTACAGTGAAACATTCACTCTGAGCACCAAATTGCAGAAATATTGATTGCCAGTTGTTAATACTTGCCCTTTCCCATTACAGCACCTATCAGCTAAAGAGGCAGAAATAAAGCAGCAGCACTGGCTGCTGTGTTGAAACAGGGGACTTAGAAACTTTAGAAACCCTAAACTCTTTAAATCAAAATGTGCTTGTCTATCTTCTTTCAGCCAGTTGCAGTAGGTGTTACTGGGGACCTCATCAGAAAGTCTGGTCTGGCAAATATGCGGCTGGTTTTACAGAACGAGAAATACTCTGAAATTAAATGGATATGAAATGAAAGAATTGTGCTACAAAGCTCTGTTTTCAAAGGTAGAAAGGCCTTTGAGCAGATAAGACCATTGGTTCTACTGCCTGTGCAAGGACTCTCCTGGCATTGCGAGCTCCGATTATTAGTAGCATTTTAAAAAATTTTTATCGTATCTTATCTTACTTTTCTACAGCTGCATCACTATTTGGGCTCTGTGTTTTTAATCTAAGATGGTAGCACGTGGTCAATGAAGGAGCTTCTTTTTTCTGCAATGCTGATCCCTGACTTAGCAGCAAACAGGTTTCGGCTTACAGGTTTCAGGCTTCTTCTCATAACCTTGATCACCATGTCTCAAAGGGTGATAATAAAGCAATGCCTGTGCCACTGCACACCATGGGCACCGAGACTGAGTGAGGAGGTGCAGGGGATGAACTGAGAGCGTATGGGCAGAGCCATTTTCCTTGGAGCTGTGTTTTGCCACCAGCCCTCTAGTAGAGTTTCTGTCCAGGTGCAATCTTGGGCTAAATTGCAGCTTTTGAGGCCACCCAACACAGCTACACAGCTTAAAGTCTAGACTGATTTAAGCAGATGCTGCCATCTCAGTCCTTTTTCCCCAGTTTGGGCATTTTACTGCTTTCTTATCAGGGATGCTTCCTTGGCCAAAACCTTGGCCAAGAAGAAGCCTTTTCCCTCTGGTGCTCAACACTCTGTCTTGTCCATCACAAACACTAACCTGAAGGAAGGGGAGGATAGCTTTGGACCATTTTGTCTTTTATGTGTTTATGATCTCCAAGCCACAGTCCTTTTCAGCTCAGCCACTGGGTCAGGCAGCTGATTGAGAATCACTGCTTTTTTGCCTCGGGGAAAGTGTGCCATGTAGGTGATGCAGATGTAGGGGGGTTGAGAAATCTGCATGACTTTTATGACTTTGCCAGAGTTTTCTAGAATGATTAATAGGCAATTAGTTTAACTGCAGATGCCTCAACTCCTACTGGTAATGTACAGACTAGAACGCTCTGTTGTACTGTAAGGATAGAATCATAGAATCATAGAATAGTTTGGATTGGAAGAGACCTTTAAATGGTCATCTAGTCCAACCCCCCTGCCATGGGCAGGGACATCTTCAACTTGATCAGGTTGCTCAGAGCCCTGTGCAACCTGACCTTGAATGTTTCCAGGGATGGGGCATCTACCACCTCTCTGGGCAACCTGTTCCAGGGTTTCACCACCCTCATCGTAAAAAACTTCCTTATATCTAGTCTAAATCTACTCTCCTTTAGTTTAAAACTATTACCTCTTGTCCTGTCGCAACAGGCCTTGCTAAAAAGTTTGTCCCCATCTTTCTTATAGGCCCACTTTAAGTACTGAAAGGCTGCGATAAGGTGTCCCCAAAGCCTTCTCTTCTCCAGGCTGAATAACCCCAATTCTCTCAGCCTTTCTTCATAGGAGAGGCATTCCATCTCCCTGATCATTTTCGTGGCCCTGGACTCGCTCCAACAGCTCCATGTCTTTCTTGTGGTGACAGTTCCAGAGCTGGACGCAGTACTCCAGGTGGGGTCTCACCAGAGCAGAGGGGCAGAATTACCTCTTTCAATCTGCTGGCCACGCTTCTTTTGATG